ATAGATATTACATAAATATTAATATAAATATAAATATAAATATAAATATAAATATAAATATAAATATAAATATAAATATAAATATAAATATAAATATAAATAAAAATTATAAAAGAAATTAACCAGAATAAAATTAAATTGAGATTAATGTAATTATGTACTACTGTGATAAGAAATATATATTCCATGGTGTCAGATAAACCTTGGATTGGATAAACTTATAAATAATAGAAAGAAATAGGAATGAAGTAGGATGGATACAAATAAATCAATTCGATAGAAATATACAGGTAAATAAATCGACTGGCAAATGGTCAGATAGATAGATAGCTAGATAGATAGATAGATAGATAGTTAGATAGATAGATAGATAGATAGATAGATAAATAGATAGATAGAGACAGATAGACAGACACTGAACCATTGAAAACTATTTGAAGGTCACAACTAGAGATAAAAAGTTACAACCAATAATATAAATGCTGGATAACCGGGAAATAAAAAAATGAAGAGAAAAAAAATTTTAAAAAATAAAAGAAAAAGATTAATAAATAAAAAGCTAAAACAATGGCTTAATCAATTTATATATAAAAGTTTAAAGGTCAACGTTGTAAATTATTAACGATATTTATCGAGGGTCACCTTAAATTTTTTTTTAAATTCTATAAAGAAATGGGAAAAAATAAGTTTTTGCCAAAAACTTTTTTAATCCTTATATCTTTGCAACTCGATATCGCAGAACTTTCATGTTTCAAACTATGAATTATTAATTCAACTAGTCTAGGGTTAAAGGGTAAAAGGTTGCAAAGACTAGAAAACTGGCTCACGTACAAAAGGTAGAATTACAAAATGTAGAATGACAAAAGGTAGAATGACAAAAGGTAGAATAATCAAAAGGTAGAACGATCAAAAGGTAGAATTAACAAAAGGTAGAACGTTCAAAAGGTAGAATTAAAAAAGGTAGAACGTTCAAAAGGTAGAATTTTTTTATTTTTCAGAAAGAAAAATCCCCTTTTCAAGTTTACAAGTGGATGGAGGTTCGGGAGGATATTCCTACAACCAACAATTAAAACGAGGCCTAAAACAACCAGTGGAATCGGTCAACTGAGCCGAATGCCAGTCTCTGGACTATTATCACCAACTTCATGATTCTTCTTCTTGATTCAGCCAGTGGTGCAAACAGCACTGAGAACGCTCGCAAACAAAAACAGAGAGATAAACGTACTAGGATTAAAAACATGACTGAAATGTATAATAATTTCCCTGCACCAGACTATATGAAACAGCTTGCCACAATTATTGGTATGGATTAAAATCATGGGTCTGATCGTTTGAGAAAGATAATCAAAGGATTGGTTTACGAATTGATGAAAAGAACCATCCCTGTTTTCTATTTCTTGTCAACACACACTAATAACAATAGTTTCCTTGATCTGATGCAAACTATAAAACTATATATAATTAATTATATAAAAATATATAATTCTCTTTCATCAGTTTTCAGATTTTAAGATAAAATATTTGTGTATGCGGGCTCAGAGTAAAATATTCATGAATTTGTAAGATTATGTATCTGATAAAAGTTTTATAAATTCTAAATCGAAAATATGTTGTTCGATAAATAAAACAGAATCTTTTACAACTACAGAAAACATGGAAACCCAGCCAGCAATCCTTTGTTACAAGCGTTGCGAATGTTTTTAAACGCTGCTTTTAAAAAACAATTTTTTAAGTGCAATTGTTCTGTGTACACTGCAAAATTGCATATTCCCTGGACTATAGTTATCTTCATATTCCACAGAGTTTAATGGGTTCCACTGTAGGCGCAACCAAATTTTTTTTATGGGATGTGCGCCTAATGCAATGTAGTAGTAAAGAACCTATAACATTCTTTTATTATATAATTTTGGCTTATCTCAAAATTGTTAAAACCCCTCTAGTCTATATAGTATATATGGTCTCTAGATTAAGTGAATGAAACTATTTACGATTCTCAAATCCTTGAAAAGAATAAAATGTATTCTTCTGGAAGCTCCTGGAAGCTTCTTGATCCATTCAGAAGCTTCTTTAGAATCCCGGCTTTAAACGAAACTATGTTTAATGTTTGTTGTACAATCTATATAAAAAGCTCTTTCTAGCTCATGTATCTGCTAGACTAGGAACCTTATATATCTACTAGTTGTGTTATCTAGGTTCTATCTTATAGGCCTTATCTATCTACTACCTGTGTTATCTGGGTTCTATCTACTAGGCTAGGAACCTTATATATCTACTAGTTGTGTTATCTAGGTTCTATCTTATAGGCCTTATATATCTACTACCTGTGTTATCTGGGTTCTATCTACTAGGCTGGGAACCCTATGTATGAGTATGTCCTCCTTGTACCACTGTGTACTCAGGTTCCCTAAATATCAAACAATTAATCATAAATCTTGAAGTAGTATAAAAAGAAAAGGTCTGCATAATAATCCTATTTCTTTAATAGAACAACACAGCTGTTTGCATAGTTTAAGCTTGGAGGGATTAGACCTTATTCAAAGTTTAAACTTTATACATATATTAGCAACATTCTAAACATTTGTGAAAAGAATCTTCTGGAAGAAACCCTTCTTTATTCAAGGAATGAAGGAATGTAAACTAGGGGAATGAGAGAATGTAAACTGGGGGAATGAAAGACTATAAACTAGGGGATGAGAGAATGTAAACTAGGGGAATGAGAGAATCTTAACTAGGGGAATGAGAGAATGTAAACTAGGGGAATGAGAGAATGTAAATTAGGGGAATGAAAGAATGTAAACTAGGGGAATGAGAGAATGTAAACTACGGGAATGAGAGAATGTAAACTAGGGGAATGAGAGAATGTAAACTATATAGAAAGGATAGAAAGGATAGAAAGGATAGAAAGGATAGAAAGGATAGAAAGGACAGAAAGGATAGAAGGGATAGAAAGGATGGAAAGGATAGAAAAGATAGAAAGGTTGGATAGAATGAAGAGGATGGATCACTGTCCACTAATATCTACTATTTCTCCGGTCAAAGTACTGAAATTTACTGCAGCACACACCAACAGCTTAGTTGAGGGTGGGATAGGATGGATAGGATGGATAGGATGGATTAGATGGATAGGATGGATTAGATGGATATGATGGATACGATGGATAGGATGTATAGGATAGATAGGATGTGGATAGGATGGATAGGATGGATAGTTTGGATAGGATGGATAGGATGGATAGAATGGTTAGGATGGATAGGATGGATAGAATTGATACTGGATAGTTTACCTGCAATGACGACCTTCGTATTATGATGAATTCTTCCCTCTCCATTTCTAGCCACGCAGGTATAATCCGCCAGATCTTTGCTCCTATTAATTTATTCAGTTATTCATTTATTTATTTATTCATCCTTTTATTTATTCATTTATTTATTCATTTATTTAAAATTCATTAATTCATTTATTCTTTTCTTCATTTATTAATTTATTCATTTATTCATTTATTCGTTTATTCATTTATTCATTTATTCATTTATTTATTTATTCATTTATTCATTTATTCATTTATTCATTTATTCATTTATTCATTTATTCATTTATTCATTTATTCTTTTCTTCATTTATTAATTTATTCATTTATTCATTTATTCGATTTATTCATTTATTCATTTATTCATTTATTCATTTATTCATTTATTCATTTATTCATTTATTCATTTATTCATTTATTCATTCATTCATTTATTGAAGTTTTAATCATTTTTATGGAGTAGCAGAATTGAATGTATTTATTGTTGTGACGCAACAAGATTTGAATTACTTAAATTTATTTCTTGTGGTGCAGTGAGATTAAATATTGTAGAATGAATGTCTAGCAGAGATAAATAACGGAGTTCTGCGCAGACAGTGTTGAATTACAAGACAGAGAGAGAGCATGCGCGTAACTCCTTTGAGCCTCTTCCTCTGGGTTATTGTGAACGAAAAACCCCTAAATCTTAAAAAGACGACATCTAGTGTTCTATCTGTATTCTCAATTTATCTATGTTGTCTAGTTTGTGTAAAGGATTCCTAGTATTTAGTTCCCCCGCTTCCCTCCATTACAAACTAATGAGTGAATTAATGAGAGAAATAAATACACTGGAAGCTGGTATAAACCTTGCAAACAAAATAAACGAAAAGAAAAAGAACAATCAACCTACAAACAAACCAATCAACTTATTTATCAACCAACAATCAAGTAAATTGTCAACCAAAAATCAACAGACCTACAAACTAACCAACCAATCAACCAACAAACAAACATTAAACCAAATTATCAACCAACACACGAATTAACTCGACAACTTATCAAATAGCATAAAAACTAACTAACAAACTTACAAAATAAAAAAGATACTAAATTGTCTAATCTATATATAAATTTGGCTTGTCTGTCTGTTTGTTTGTTTGTCTGTTTGTTTGTATCCAATAAACGTCAAAACGGCTGAACCGATCGGGCCCAAATTTTTTGTGGGACATCTAGGGACCCCAGGGAAGGTTTATGAATGATCAAAATTTCAAATATTTGTCTCCATCAAAATTCGATCTTCATTAAATTTTTGAAAATTTTGAAAATCCACGAAATTTTTTGTGAAAATCCGCGAATTATTTTTGTTTTGTTTTACTATGTACACAAAGAGAACATGTTCACAATTAATTTAGAAGATGGGCGCGAAGCGCCCTCTGAGGCTAGTCTATATATAAATTTGGCTTGACTGTCTGTTTGTTTGTATCCAATAAACGTCAAAACAGCTGAACCGATCGGGCCCAAACTTTGTGTGGGACCTCACGTGACCCCAGGGAAGGTTTATGAATGATAAAATTCAAAAAATTTATATTTGTAAAAGTTTTTATCTTTGTAAAAATTTTTAAATTCTTGAAATTCCCAATTTTTTTATAAAATCCGCGAAATTTTTTTCTTTGTTTTTCAATGTTACAAAAACATTAAATCCACTAAAAATTTTTAGTATTTAATGAGCAAGCTACCTAACTAAAGAATAACTGAAGCAATTAATTTTTCATCATAAATATTAAAATTCAAATATTTGTATTTAATACAAAACTGAAATATCAATTTCTAATTCAAATAATCTGAAATATTTACAAAGGATTTCTGCCTCTAGAATTTGAGTTGAACATTTTCATTCTCGTAATCCACAAAAAAAGGGTTAAATGGTTATAAATTTTTTTTAAAATAATCTTTTTGTTTGTTTATTTTATTGTGGTTTTTAACAAATTTTTTTTATCGAGTTTGACGGTTATTATATCGTTAGAACTGACAATGATCAACCCAGACCGAAATATATTTTTAATAAATGTGGAACTAACATCTACTTTTTTACTCTACAGAGGTTTGGTCCATCACCATCACCGAATTTTAAAATAACATAATCACAAGTTATCAAATTACGGATATTTTAAATGGTTTTCCTATTTACACCCTTCTTGATATAAAATTTACTTGGAACATCTTTATTTTACGTGACGAACGATGACGCAATTGATGATCCAAAACGTATTCAGATACAGGTTAATTACCTACAAAGGATGAATCTGTAAAAACGACATAAAACTCTAAAAATATGACGATCTCAAGGATAGATTGAGACTTTTGCCTTGAAATTAAGCTTCAAAAGGGATATTTAATGATTTCGCAAAGAAAGAAACAATTTAACTGCTGCAGTGTGAATAATGAATATTAAGAAACAGAAAGTATACATTTTGTCAGTCGTCTATGAAGTCTCATCCTTTGGAAGTAACCCTGTATGTACTATACTGGTGCGCTTGGCATATCTTCTATATAATAAAACAAGACATTCGTATGTATGTTGCGTATAGCCGGCCATACGGCTGGACCGGTTGGGCATTTTTTGTGGACACTCATGGGTGGCCGGGGGGTGTTAGGCTAAAAAAAATCGGGCCTTTCAGCTAGTAAAAAATATTACACCAAGGCTACCCTAGGTATTTTTTCTAGATTTTTTTAAATATTATTGTGAATTGTTTCTAACCTGATGCTGTTTATTCTGAGTTCTGTTCCATCATTGATAACAGCCACAGTATTTGATTGTTGTACAGGGGCATCATACTTTAACCAGAACAGTTCAGGGTCAGGTGTACCTTCAGCCTTAATATAGTTCATGTACAGGGGCATCATACTTTAACCAGAACAGTTCAGGGTCAGGTGTACCTTCAGCCTTAATATAGTTCATGTACAATACAGTACAGTTCAGGGTCAGGTGTACCTTCAGCCTTAATATAGTTTATGTACAATACAGTACAGTTCAGGGTCAGGTGTACCTTCAGCCTTAATATAATTTATGTACAATACAGAACAGTTCAGGGTCAGGTGTACCTTCAGCCTTAATATAATTCATGTACAGTACAGTATAGTTCAGGGTCAGGTGTACCTTCAGCCTTAATATAATTCATGTAAAATACAGTACAGTTCAGGGTCAGGTGTACCTTCAGCCTTAATATAGTTCATGTACAATACAGTACAGTTCAGGGTCAGGTGTACCTTCAGCCTTAATATAATTCATGTACAATACAGTACAGTTCAGGGTCTGGTGTACCTTTAGCCTTAATATAATTTATATACAAAACAGTACAGTTCAGGGTTTTGTGTACCTTTAGCCTTAATATAGTTTATGTACCATACAGTACAGTCCAGGGTCAGGTGTACCTTCAGCCTTAATATAATTTATGTACAATACAGTACAGTTCAGGGTCAGGTGTACCTTTAGCCTTAATATAGTTTATGTACAATACAGTACAGTTCAGGGTCTGGTGTACCTTCAGCCTTAAAATAGTTTATGTACAATACAGTTCAGTTCAGGGTCAGGTGTTTGTCAAAAAAAACATTTAAGTTTGTACATGTATATGTATATGTAAATGTATATGTATATGTACATGTAAATCAGATTTCTTTGTAATGTCCCTTGAAAAGTCAGATATTTTCTTCTGTGAGATATATTTGATCACATTAAACCCTGATATTTCACGGGATTAACTCCTCATTTTTTCTCTTCAATCCTCAACAATGGAACTTGAGAGGGAAAATATAAGAACTGTTTATTTCTGCAGAATAAATGGCGTTTAAAACAAATTTTTATCTTCCTCACCATATTAAAATAATTGATTAAAAATTTTCAAGATTGAAATTGATTAAGTTTTTTTAATTATTTCCCGTTGACCGTTTGTGTGAAAAATATCGATTCGTAGATTACAATTACTGTACAGTGTTATCCAAGAAAGAGGAACAAATGTCGTCTTAGATCTTTTAAATAAGAAACGTCGCCAGAGATTTTAAGTCGGTATATCGCAAAAAAAAATCCATTTACGATAACATTTTCAAATTAAATTTCTATTGCTAATTTAAATCTAGATTAAAGACGACAATTGTTTGTTTGTTTGTCTGTACATAAAGTACATAAACATTTACCTGGCAGCCTAGAATGATGGAATCTCCAATATTTACGTAGTTTATATCCTTGGGTACTTGTACAAAGTGAGGAGCAGCATGTACAGACAGGTGGTACCATGTACCATTCTAAACATAACATGTACAGACAAGTGGTTCCATGTACCATTCTAAACATAACATGTACAGACTGGTGGTTCCATGTACCATTCTAAACATAACATGTACAGACAGATGGTACCATTTACCATTCTAAACATAACATGTACAGACAGGTGGTTCCATATACCATTCTAAACATAACATGTACAGACAGGAGGTACCATGTACCATTCTAAACATATAGTTATTTTTTGGCGAGAAGGTAATTTTCTGAGCAACTGAACAATTTGATTAATAACGTGGGATGATTTCTCTTGGTGTTGACAAAAAGAGAAATCGGAAAAAATGTTTAAATCTTAAAAAATAATTTCAAAGTATTTCCTAAATATAGAATAAAACTAAACATTTCAAGTGTGTATCCTCCATTTTTTGCAGAAACAGAATTTATTCTATTGTGAAAATGCAATATTTTCTCTAATCTTAAAGAAAATTTATAGAAAATTTATTTTGAAATATTTTGACAGGTTTGTTAGATTGAATTTCATTTTTTATTTTGTTAAATTTTTTTTCAATAACTTACTTATTTTTCTTTAAACTTTACAATGCATTTTCATTAGACAATTTCTTCAAAGCATAGTAAAAATCATTTTTTTAAACCTACCCAATCACCTAAAGAGTATTAAAAAATGCATTAAAACTAATGTTTTGTTTACTGAAAGCATTAAAACTCCCCCTCCTCCCCCCCTCCCCTCATCCCTCCTTCTAGCCAGACCAAGATCAAATATTTATTCTAAAATGGAATTCTTTAACAGAATAAAATATGTATGGATTCTCTAGGATACGAGGGAGAAGACTAGAACAAGAAACCAAATCTAAAACATTAATCTCAACTTAAAGAGAATGCTCCCGAATTTCAAGATATATTTTTACCTCTCTACTCTCCTCTTCTGGTGGCCGGTTGAGAAACACAACCTGTACAGGATACAGGGTACATATAATTTACAATTTATGAAACTTTCCTTATCCTTTCCTTTTATTCATATTTTTATATTTTTTTAGAATTGGGAGGAAATATTCCCACAACCTCTACTTTTAGAGGTTTTTAATTATATTTTCTCCTGAAACACTTAATTTGTATGTTTTTGTTATATTTCATAAATAAATAATTTTTTACTTTACTTTTTTTACTTTAGTAGATATGTAACCTCTATCTAAAAGTAAGTACAGTGATAACCAGAAAATAGGAAGTAGACTACTAGACTCTAGTTATGTCTTTAAATTTAATAACTTTCTAGTAATTTAAGAACTTCCTAGTGATTTTATAACTTACTAGTGAAGCTATTCGCTTTTAACAACATCAAATGCACTTTATGCTTTAATGTCGTCTTTTTTCTATAGTTTTCTGGTTATTATTGAACAAAATACAAGCGTAAATAGTCGAATATAAATATTCTTAATAATATTGTAAAACTTAACACGCTGATTTAACAGTTAGCCCCTTGTCTCAGCAAGCTGTTACTTTCGATCCCAATTTGAGGAAGTAAGCATACATTTTTATTATCTTTTGTGGGTGGATGCGTTTTAAATGAAATTATTAACTGAAATATTGGTTTATTCAGTTCAACTGAAATATTGGTATATTTTTTATTATATGTATGGATATATAAAAATATATATTGTATATATACATATTGGATTATTTATTGCGTGGACAGATATAATAGTTGTGAAACAGGAGGTCTCCTGGATGTTAGTTAGGTTTAAGCTCGCAACTCCCAACCCAGCAGAGTTCCCTAAAAAATAATTCTATTAAAGGCAATAAAAAATTTAATAAAAGAAACTCCATCTTTTAAAACCTCTGAATGATTAAACTAAACTTATGTTAAACCTTGTATTGAACCTGTTTTTTTGGCAAACCCTGTCAATTATAAAATGCGAATCCAGAGAAAAGAGTATTAGTATTAAATTGTAAATTTTATATTGTTTAACGTAATTTTGCTTGAGACAAATATAAATGATGAATATATAAATAAAATTAAAAGATTATCAGTTTTGATGCTAAAGCAAGTGTTCACAGCTTAGCTTTAAGCGGTGTTAAAAACCTTTTTTTTATATTTTTGGTTACATTCGATGAAAAATATAAACACTATTTTTTTAACAGAAAAAAAAACTAAACTGTTTTACAGTGAAATGAAGAAACATGAGGAACCTGAATCTATCCTGGCGGCCCTGCAGGAGTTAGTTGGTTTATCTCTAAACTCTTGGGAACAGTGGGTTGGATAGTCGTCATACCAGATAAATATAGGCAGCTCAATACCTGATTAATTAGTTAATCAATCAATCAATCAATCAAATCAATCAAGTCAGTTTTTCCAATCAGTCAAATCAATACGGATTTAAATAATTAATTTCAAATTTTATTATCTCAAAAAAAATTAAATTCCAATTGTATTCAAAGGAACTGAACACTTGCCTCAATCTCTAATTTTCCTATTACTATATCTTTGCAAACTGATATCATGTTGCAAACATATAAGGATAAGAAAATTAGACTTTGAGCGAAGTGTTTAATTCATTCACCTGTAAAAGCTGAACGTTATATTCGTTTAATATTATATACAAAGTTATTGGTAATACAAATCAAAATTACCTTTCTTTGACCAGGTTACTACGTATGGAACTGGAATATCACCCGGGAAATGCGCGTGGCAGTTGAAGTGTACTTCCTGACCCAAGATGGCGGTTATATGCTCAGGATCATGTTCACTGTACGCCCACACTAGAATTAGAATTCAAATAAATATAAAGTACACTTCAAAGCTTAAGATCTTCTTCAAATGAAAGAATTGTTACAAAATAAAAAATATACGTTTAGGATTTTTCTAGAACAGCAAAAACCACCTTTTTTAACAAAATAAAATTATAGAATAAAGGCGACTGCATTATGTTATGAGGAGGCTGCATAGAAAGTTTTCAAAAATTTGAACTTTAATGTGATAAAATAATTTCTTTGTAAAAGTTGAAAAGAATAAACTGTTTGGTTTGATTTATTTGATTTGTTTGACTGATGTTTTACATTAAGTTCTTGAATTGGGTTGGAAACCAATTATTAGATAGATAGAACTGTAAAGGTAAAGTCCTATCTGTGTTATCTATACGGGTCAAAGTCCTATAAGATAAATTCTGAAGGGTTTAGTTTCATAGTAAACAATTCTGCACAAATTACTGTTTACAAACTAGATCCTCATTTCTTCCTGAGAATACTTAAATCTTTAATTAAATCCAATCCAAGCAGAAAACTTTATAATTGTTTTCAATCCTCTCTCTATACTGGTTCTCTATAGTTAGTTCTCTTTATCTATAGTTCTAGGACAAGGTGATCGGGTTCTCTATAGTTAGTTCTCTTTATCTATAGTTCTAGGACAAGGTGACCGGGTTCTCTATAGTTAGTTCTCTTTATCTATAGTTCTAGGACAAGGTGACCGGGTTCTCTATAGTTAGGTCTCTTCATCTATAGTTCTAGGACAAGGTGACCGGGTTCTCTACATCTAGTTCTAGGACAGGGTCTCCGGTTTTTTTATCCTGCTCTAATACACGGTCATTGGGTTCTCTTCTCTACATCTAGTTCTAGGACAGGGTCACGGAGTTCTCTTTCTCTAGTTCTAGGACAGGGTTGCACCAGGTTCTATTTATCTGTAGTTCTAGAACAGGGTCACCGAGTTCTCAATAATTAGTTCTAGGACAGGTTCACTGTGTTCTCTTTATCTGGTTCTAGGACAGGGTAACCGGGTTCTCTATAATTATTTCTAGGACAGGGTCACCGGGTTCTCTTTATCTAGTTCTAGGACAGGGTACTATTCTTAAATTTCATGTGCTCTCCTACTCTTTTCTATAACTTTTCTAGGCAATACGGAAAGAAAATACAAATATTTTATACACAATATCAATATCTATATATAAATAAATATATAGTTATTTATTATATGTATGGATATATAAAAATATATATTGTATATATACATATTGGATTATTTATTGCGTGGACAGATATAATAGTTGTGAAACAGGAGAAGAATATTAAAGGGATTCATGGACCAAGAATAGATAGGTAGGGATTGACAAAACAAGAATAGATGATTCATGGACCAAGAATAGATAGGAAAGGGATGGATAAAATCGAATAGAGGATTCATGGACCAATGATTGAGAGGAAGGGATTGATCGAACACGAATAGAGGATTCATGGACCAATGATTATGAGGAAGGGATTGATCGATCACGAATAGAGGATTCATGGACCAATGATTAAAAGAGGGGATGGCTAAAACCAGAATAGAGGATTTATGGGGACCAAGAATCTCAAGGAATATAATAGATTAATGATTTATGCTTTTAGAAATATTATCAATAAATGAAATTTGATCAAACTTAAGGTTTTTATATTATGAGACACTGCACAGCAGCTTACCTTGGAAATATATTTTTAATGAAATATTCCCGACAATAGTTTTCATACAGAGAGAATTGCATGATAAGGAAGTGATCGGAAAATGTCAATTTCTGATAAAAAAAAGTTATTTTTACCTTTGACAAGGCAGACCAGAATATATTTACCTTTGACAAGGCAGGCCAGAATGACTAGAATGTATTTGAATAGTAGAGACTGTGTAAACAACCGGACCGGACGGTTGGTGTACCGACCGTTCGTATGCCGACCAGTTGTGTGCCGGTCAGTCGTGTGTTGACCGTCTGTGTTGCAGTCGGCAGGGGGCAGGACCGCCAGGCTGGTCAGTTCGGAAGCGCAGCTTGTTTTGTAAACAGTTCTATGTGGAACAGACATACTTTCCCCATCCCCTTCCCTGCAGTACAATAGATGATTAGTAAACATATTAGGACAGGACACTGTACTGTAAAATGTGCAAATTACACTGTAAAGTATATTATATTCTGTACTTTTTTACTGAAATTCGACGACGGCATTTACACAAACAAACTATAGTTTGCTATGTAGCAGGTTCAAGCTTTTAAAAACATTTTACTGATTTCAGGTCGTCTTCATATTTTACTTTATTCTATCAATCACTGTGCCATAAATCAATTTGACATTTTTATAATTTGTTTTGCAGAGTTTTTACATGAAAATAAACAATAGCAAAGATATAACAAATAACGTGAATTGGACAGAAAATGGACAATACAGAAAATGCGGCATGGAATGTCACGATATGTGCACAATTCGTACTGCAAAGACAAACAAACGCTTCTGAGGTCGTTTTTGAGGACAAGGAGCAAAACAAAGGCTCTAAAATCAAGCTGAAAACAACATGCAAGCTTTTGTTTATCATTGTAGTTTGTACATACATCTAGGACTTACAATTTTTGACCCCGAACAATATGAATTTTTACCTAGGTGACTCCAGGTATAGTCGGCTGTACTCCGGTCATCTTTCAGCAGAGGTAGAAGAATAAACAGGTAGAGAGAACCAAGCTGACCTCAAGCTAACCTTACACTTTGACCTGAAAAAATAGGTCGAAATTAATAACATTATCAAACACTTTTTTCTAAAAATCTGTTAGAATTGGCTGACACTGATTTCATAGAGTATAGATTACTGTTCGCTTCTGAATGGTAAAAGAACGCAACTGTTCTACAGTAAGAACACATATACATATATCAGAGAGATCCAAACTGTTCTACAGTAAGAACACATATACATATATCAGAGAGATCCAAACGTAAGCTTCAACGCAAAAATTGTTGAGAATTTTACCAATTACGGCATAAAAACTAAAGCTGAAAAGAAGTGGTTTAGAGTTCTAAAATGTACATGCCTTGGGCTCTATAAAGGTATAAGTTAGTTAATGCAGTAAGATCAAATGACTAAGGCGTTGCGACACAGTCTTGAATATAAATATCAGTCTGGATCTATAAGTGGCATTGATATTTTACGGGAACAAATCAAATTTATTTCTTGCAATGAAAGCAACTTATTGCCCTGCAATACCCATTTTTTCAACATATTTTGTTTCAAAGAAAACTGAATTACTACATACATTTCTATTTTCAATTTAGGTTTTCATTTTGGTGTAGTGCATCGAAATTCAATAATTCTTCTTTTTATTTATCTTTTTGTTTCTCTCTATTTTATCTTTTATGTATATATGTAATGTAATTTATAGATGCATATTGCATATGTGGCAGATAATCTAAAAATAAAAAAATGTGTGTCCAAAAAAAGTTTGAACTCAACCACTCTATACCTTTAATAAGATATATTGGTTCAAAAATGCCGAAAAATGAATGTTTTTAGCTTTTATGAGAGAGAGCGTCTACCATAATTTTATCATACAGAAAAGAACTGAATTTTTGTCAACACTCAAATTTTGTAATCCCTAAATCTTTTCAATCTGCTGGTTTCATAGTAAAATATCGGGTTGCAAAGTAAAAGGATTTAAACATTAGAGTTTGTGGCAAAAACTTATTTCCTTTCTAAGAATTATAGTTGTGATATATGTGTCTAAATGGCACTATATGTAGAACAAGCAAATATTCGCGTTTTAAACCAACATTTTAACCTATCCTATAAAATAACTAAAGTTGTGCATTGTCATTTATATTCTTGAGTTTTTCTGAGGGAAGCATTATTTCTTGATTTTAGTTGTATTAATCTATTATTAGTTAATTACTGTATATTTATATCAATATTATCTTGTTTTGACAGGTTAACGTGTGTTTAGATTACCCTCAGGATATACTCCTGTCAACATCATTCATCTATTCATCCATTTATCGGTTTATACTATCCATCCACCATCATGTTTATATTGTATTAATCATCCCGTGTACATGCCATTGTACAAAATTCAATTTGTACATGTAATTGGTTTGTATACGGGTAACAAGAATGCAAAAAAAGAATAATTTATCAGTTTATTGAACACTGACGTTTATAAAGTAGAAACTAATGTATTGTAAGCCTGCACAGTAATCTACAGTTAAAAAAACGAGGTGAAAATCCAACTGATTACTGAGAAAAACCGAGGATGATCATTTTAGGAAAGCTTTTTTGAGGAGTTGAATGCTTGTATAAGGGTTTTTAATGGAACCTTAAAGACCCAGGAGCTGCCGACCATAGCAGTGTTGAATGGGATGTAGGATTCAATCTGGTCCTGTCCCTAGTAGGACTGTGTCCTAGTAACTACTTAGTAATAGTTAATAATATTTTTTTTACATTTTTGTGCCCCCGCCCCTTAGTTTTTCATCAGAAATCTAGGCATGGGGGTTTGTCCCACTTGCACCCCCCCCCCCTATGTAAGCCTAGGCCGTAGAATGTGATTGGAAGACAAGACTAATATGTTTATTTTCACTGATTGATTGATTGATTGAATGATTGAGAGGAGAGAAGGAGTCTAGTACTTCATCAAGATTTCCTGTGTTCGACCTAAATTTATTCTTTTCCTATCCATTTATGTTCCTTTCTTCACACATTCCCTTCCATTTATGTTCCTTTCCATTTATATTCCTTTCCATTTATATTCATATTCGCAGTCTGCACATTTTCCTTTCCATATATGATATTCCTTTCCGCACACATTCCTTTCTAGTTATATTCCGCGTACATTCCTTTCATTATGCATTCCTTTCCATAGATATTCTTTTCACTTTAAATCTCTTTCAATAGATATTCCTTTCCCTAAATATATCCTTAACAGTTTTCCCTTTTAACTATAATATGCATTTTTTAAACTTTAAATTATACCTCGAAACTTAACACTAAACTTTCCTTGGTGTTAAAGTGTGCTAAAATTCTTTTTATGATACGAGAAGCGCCTTGAATTTTATTTGAATATAAAGTTGAGTAAAAATCAATCAATCAATAAAAAAGTTTCACTTTGATGTCTAGAGTTTGAAGTGCGTGAAGTGAATGATAAATAGTAGTAATATATATATATATATCATTCACCTTCACACCTTCAGTTATATACCTCACATAGATCTATGACTTCTATAAAAATGTGCATACATTTCTAAGTCTGGGTCTAATATCAAGTGTTGGAACGACTTGGCCTTTGACTTTAATTCGCTGACTCACGTTTACTTTTTTGTAGCTCTAGACATGCACAGTTGAGAACTATATAGAACTCGTTTTTTTAGTTTTAAAGAAGTATTTGGCAAAATTCTCATTGAGGTTTGCGTAAGAGCTTTTAGCCGTTGGATCACTGTGACCTTCCATAAAATCTTGATATATCAATATACTTCTCAATTAGTAATTAAGTTCTGTACAATGTATACAGTGAACAATGTACAAATTGAACAATGTACATGCATTATTTTCTCTTAATGAGTTAAAAAAGAGTATTTGGGGTTTTAATTACATAATGTATAATCTTTTATTAAAAACAAATACAGAGTGTTCCACGAAACATGACAGTAGTAAGACGACTTGAAGGTCGTCCTTGACGTTAGAAATAATTTTAGGCATTTATTCGTAAACCTAATTTTAGAAGTCAAATTTAAAAAAGTTAATAATCACAAAATACACACATAATATCCGGTTACACAGTAGAAATTAAAAACATTTTGGTCTTTTCAATAACTCATCTTCGATTAGAGAAGTTATGATTAAAAATATTTAAGATTTTAATCTAACGTGCAGGGTACATTTTACTTTAATTTGACGTGGTATGGTTCCGTTATTTCAATTGGACTTTAATTGCTTAGAAAGTTTTATGAGATAAATCAAATTAAATATATTTCCAATTTGAAAAAGTATGAATAAATGTGAAAGATATTTCCCCCTGTATTTCCAGCTTTGTATGTTATAATGTATGTATATATGATGTATGTTTGTCTACGTCTTGTAGGAATATAAGAGTGCCAAAATTATGAATCCAGGCCTATACAGATTTTCCCAGCTTACAGGGGCATTATTATGTAGGGTTTATATGCAAATACACGTGAATATGTAGAGTGGCTGTCTCCGCTTCGTAATAATGTATGTAGATTTATAGATTTATAGATATATAGATCAAATATAAAGATATAAGAAAAATATTCACATAAGTACACAGAAAAAAATATATATAAAAAAATAAAACATTCAATAATTTTTCAACAAAAAATTAATGGCACGAAAGAAACCACAAATGTTCATGAAACTATAAAGTTAATTTTCTGATTTTTCCAAGGAATTTATCCAATCAGACTTTTCTGAACTTGTTGTGGTTTGTTTCAGTCTCTGGTAGATGGCTTATCTATTGAATTATGTATACAACCAGACTAAACTTATTTTGACGTAGTGCACCGTACTAAAAGCTTTAACTTCTTAAAGGGAGTGACCGGCTATGTAAGGTAGTTGAACTGAGTATACAGTGTTGTGAAAAACTTCTTTCGGATTCATTTGAGACATATTAAATTTTTTAAAGATCGGTAAATCCTGAGTTTGAGCGCAAATTCGATGTTCAAAACTCCTACTTTGAGGGTGAATACGTTTTCAGAATTTGTTTTTTTTTTAATTATTAAATAACGACGACATAAAATGTAAAAAAGTTCTACAATAAACTACAGACGTCATGTATAGGAACATGTTGAGAAAATAAAAATTAATCTTATCATCGAAAATAAGTAATCTTGTTCAATTATTAGTTTCTATTATCTCATTATTCTGGTTTCTCATTATTCACAAAGATTTTCGCAGATTTTCTAGAATTATTGTTGAAAAGACGACATTTGAAGAATTTGAAGAAATCTGCGAATAAATTCGAAGAAAATTAGAAATTCAGTATAATAATGAAAACGAAATAATCGATTTTAGCATTGATTTATTGACAAATTTCTTTTGAGAAATATGTTCCTAACCATCTAATTAGATTATTGTATATTTTTTACTTTATTTTTCGTTGTCATTATTTAATAATCTAAAAAAAACTAAAACTAGCCGGTCACTCCCTTTAAGGATAACCGAGCAAGTAAATTAATACAACGTAATTTTAAAATTTCTGTTTCTTCACTCAATTTTAAAGGAACTGTAAGCGTAATTTCAAGTGACCCTTTATGCACAGATGGCAATGATTGACAACAGTATCCTTAAAAGCTCTGTATATTGCACAATAAACATATCTATCTATCTATCTATCTATCTATCTATCTATCTATCTATCTATTTATCTATCTATCCACCTAGCCGCTTTTTATATATTTGTGTTTGTTTGAAACCAAATTAGTTTTCCATCTTAAAAACTTCCCAAGATTATCTAATCACAGAGAGAAAAGGTTTCGCAAAAAAAGCTTTTAAATTTTCTTTTAAAACATTCATCCAGCTCCTCCAGCCAAATTAAAACTTTCTTTCTAGACTGAATATTAAATATTCTTTTTCTCTTTGTAATGTAAACAATTATATTTCTTCTCCCAAATGTATTCTTCTTTCAAAAGTTTAAAGTTCCAATAAACATTTTAATTAATAGAAGGTCTTTGATCATAACTCGTGAAGTCTTAGACAAACTTTTATTTAAATAACTTGTTTGTAAAAGATAAAAATGA